CATGAGCAATTGCATTAAGCTGGTGACTATAGTGTCCCGGGCCATGATAGAAAGGTGTCAGACCACACTGTGCATTGCAGTTTGCTGAATATGGGGCTGCGTAGCCGCAGACTATTCAGAGTGATGACCACTGTCCACAACGGAATGCAACTTCAATGGGGACCATTGGACCACAGGTGGTTTTAATGTTGTGACTGATCAGTGTATTTATTTGTAATTTTTTTTTTTTTTTTTATTGTAAACAACTACTTTCCATGGATCTTCTAACTGAATGTAGATGAATGTCACATGTTTCTAAAGGCAAAGCAAAAAGCATAAAGCTAAATTTGCACTTCCTTCTAGTGGCTAAAAATGATTTCTACTTTGTCATGCATTAAAGTAAAAGGAAATCATGAATTTTGGAAAAAAAAAAAAAAAAAGTTTTTCTCTCTGCAATGACTGCTTGATTATAAGTGCTGTTACATTAGGCTAAATGGTGTTGTTAAAGACAATGGTAAAATGTAACATAAAATACTAGCCAATTACCGAATATGTAAGTGGTAATCAAATTTGAACCTTTATGAAACAAGACCTTACAGTAATATTGTAAGAGGATATTCAGAAAGGGCAGATATACACCCTGAAATGAGAATGTCAAGTTTCACTGATTACATAAAATGGGATCTTTTGCACAGAGTCCTTGGCAACCTTGTGTCATTGTCCGTTCAATAGTGCGATAATGAAAAACTATTTTGATTAATTCTGTAACCAGGGAAGGTACATTCATCTTTTCACTAGTTTCTAAGTGCATAATGAAGCTTTGGATATGTATTGGTAGGCGATTTATTGACTTTGGGTGGATGAAAGGCTTAGATGACCATGCTGAGGAAAGAACCAGGGACACTGAAATACTGCAGATTGAGTCATGTCTACTGATACACTTTTACCATCCATTGTGGTAGTGAAGTCCTGGTAGCATGTTAGTGTTCATTCAGATCTGCTTCTTATTGTAAAGTTCCCAAAAACAGTAACCTAGTTCCAGCTGTTGGTTTTGGCTGTTACCATTTAGAAATACCAAAGCCATTTCTCTGCCAGACTGGCATGTTGCATTGAACTTCTTGTAAAATACAAAGTTAATAGAATAAAGGGAGCACTCACAAAGTGGTAATATCTACAGTACGTTCAGACCCCTTCTTTTTTCACAGTTTTCTGTTGCACCTTTATGCAACAATTTTTTAATTTTCCTTTTTTTCACATCAACCTTTCTCCATACCCCATAATGAAATCATCAGATTTGTTATAAGATTGCAGATAATAAACGCATAAATATCACATTCACAGAAGACTCTTAACGCAATGTCTAGTTGAAGCACCTTTACGAGCTATTACAGCCTTAAGTCTTTTTGGCTATGAATACTTTGTCATCCAGCCCCCCCCCCCCCATGAGAATCACATAAAGATAAAATGTTTATGAAATGCTCATAGACACTGTGTTGGAATTTCACTGATATCTAAACTCAGTTAAAAGAAATCATACTGCTTTGTCTATGTATTTTTTTTCAACACTTTTCAAAAGGTGAAATTTTGTCAAGTTGTCACTAGTGATGGTTGAGGGCATAAAGACTCTGTCTCTGGAGAATCTTGGGATCCCCTATAGACAACAGTGTTGTACACTTGCGCATGTACGAGAGTACAGTGCTGATGTCAGCTCCTGGCAGAGTTGAAAAGGAAGGAAATGGTGGCTACTGCAATGGACAGGCAAGTTTAAAAAAAACAAACAAACAAAAAAAAACCTACCTACCTATCCTGCATCCCCACGCAACCGCAGTGGAAACGGAGCAGTCGCCATATGGGCAATATATGCCAAAACCCCAGAAGGTGAGAGAGCCTCTTTAATAAATGTGCAAAGTTGTCAAAAGGCTGCCTTTTGCTGTGTCATTATGGGGTAATGAGTGTAGATTGATTTAAAAAAAAAAAAAAAAGGAAATTGTTACATAAACTTGCAACATAAAATAATGAATTTATGAATGTTTGTCCAGACATCCGTACAGCACAAATTCAATGATCATCGTGTAGAAGTTAGTACAAGACAAGGTGCTATTGTATTTACTTAAAGGGACACTATAGTCACCTGAACAACTTTAGCTTAATGAAGCAGTTTTGGTGTATAGAACATGCCCCTGCTGCCTCACTGCTCAATCCTCTGCCATTTAGTAGTTAAATCCCTTTGTTTATGAACCCTAGTCACACCTCCCTGCATGTGACTTGCACAGCCTTCCATAAACACTTCCTGTAAAGAGAGCCCTATTTAGGCTTTCTTTATTGCAAGTTCTGTTTAATTAAGATTTTCTTATCTCCTGCTATGTTAATAGCTTGCTAGACCCTGCAAGAGCCTCCTGTATGTGATTCAAGTTCAATTTAGAGATTGGGATACAATTATTTAAGGTATATTACATCTGTTTGAAAGTGAAACCAGTTTTTTTTTTTTCATGCAGACTCTGTCAATCATAGCCAGGGGAGGTGTGGCTAGGGCTGCATAAACAGAAACAAAGTGATTTAACCACTTAAGACCGGAGGGCGTACTATTACGTCATATTTTAGGCGGCTCTAAACGCCGCCGAGCGTAATAGTACGCCCTCTGGTCTTTCTTTACTTACCCGGTCACCGGCGATCGCAGTTGGGGGGACCCCCAGGGAGCCTCCCGCCGCACATCCGACCCCCTGGCAGCCCCCCCGGCCATGTGAGAGTGAGGTCCTTGCGAGGACCTCACAATCACATGGCAGGGATAGCTGCCTCCTGCATTGCCAGCAGGGGGACTGCCTGTAATGGCAGGTGGTCCCCCTGCTGGCTGGAAATAAAATTTAAAAAAGTTAAAAAGTGTAAAAAATAAATAAATATATACTTAGATCATTCATATATATATATATATATATACAAACACATACACTGTCTAGGTGTATTAAACTAATATATATATTATCAAATTACACGTAGACTGATATTGATTAAATATATATATATAATTATTGTTATATATATTTATATATAATATAAAAAAATAAATATGTAAATACGTTAAAAAATAAAATTAAACAAATAATTAAAAAAATATATAGATGTGTTATTTCGTTCTAACTGTATTGTGATATTAATATATATATTTATATCAAAATACACGTAGAACAAAATAATATATATATCTATATACATAAATATATACATATATATCACTATATATATATATATATATATATATATATATATATATATATATATATATATATATATATATATATATATATATACCTATATATAAATAAAAGTATTTTTTAAAAATTAGATATATACATATATATTCACATACGTGTGTATATATATATATATATATATATATATATATATATATATATATACATATATTAATTCTACATATATATTTATGTAATATTTTTACATAATTAGGTAGCTTAATTAATTACAATTAGCGGGACCTGCCTGACAACCCATGCCAAAAGTAAAGGGAATGTAATTTGCTAGCACTATATTTAACCCTATAACTTTCCAAGACACCATAAAACCTGTACATGGGGGGTACTGTTCTAGTCGGGAGACTTTGCTGAACACAAATACTACAGTAAAATGTATTACAACGATGATATCGCCAGTAAAAGTGACGTTTTTTGCATTTTTCACGCACAAACAGCACTTACACGGACGATATTATTGCTGCAATATATTTTATTGTTTTGAAACACAATTATTTGTGTTCAGCGAAGTCTCCCGAGTACAACAGTACCCCTCATGTACAGGTTTTATGGTGTTTTCAATAGTTACAGCGTCAAATATAAGGCTTGTTTCATTTTTTTCACATTAAAATACGCCAGATTGGTTACGTTGCCTTTGAGACCCTATGGTAGCCCAAAAAATGAAAATTACCCCTATGATGGCATACCATTTGCAAAAGTAGACAACCCAAGGTATTGCAACCAGGGTATGTCCAGTCTTTTTTACTAGCCACTTAGTCACAAACACTGGCCAAAATTGGCGTTTTTTTGCATTTTTCACACACAAACAAATACTAATGCTAACTTTGGCCAGTGTTTGTGACCAAATGGCTACTAAAAAAAGACTGGACATACCCCATTTGCAATACCTTGAGTTGTCTACTATTGCAAATGATATGCCGTTATTGGTGTAAATTTCTTTCCTGGGCTACTATAAAGTCCCAAAGGCAACGTAACCAATCTGGCGAATTTCAATTTCAAATGTAACGTGCTATATTTGACCCTGTAACTTCCCAAAACGCCATAAAAACTGTACATAGGGGGTACTGTTTTACACATGAGACTTTGCTGGATACAAATATGTGTATTTTATTGCAGTAAAAGCAAACTGTATTATGACATTGACCGTTAAAATGTCATGTAGAACTAAAAAAAATAAAAAAAATCTTATTTTCTCCCATTTTTTTCATATTAAATTATGTTTCATAGCTAAATATTTGATATTAAATGAAAGCCCTGTTTCCCCTGAATAAAATGATATATAATAAGGGTGGGTGTATTTAATATGAAAGAGGTGAATTACAGTTGGACAGACATGTAGCGCAAATGCCAGGTTTTGTTTACGTTTTGTTTTGTTCACAACGTGTACATTTGGCTCTGTCCTTAAGGGGTTAACTCCTAAATGACCGTGAATTGAGCAGTGAAATTGCAGGGGAATGATCTATACACTAAAACTGCTTTATTTAGCTAAAGTAATTTAGGTGACTATAGTGTTCCTTTAATTGAGAGCTTTGGGTTAAAAAAAAAAAAAAAAAAACCACAAAAACCCTAGAGCAGCCCTTCTCTATATTAGTGTGGATCTTTAAAAACCACTGCCGGAAGCATCTTATTTGTCTAGCTCTTTTTTGCAACCTTGCCTTGCCATACCGTATTATCACCTTTTGTTACTTGAATAGTGATTTAAATAAATGACTGGAAAACTAATATTTCTATAAAACCAGTATTCGTTAAAATAAGATGTCCTCGGGTAACTGTTGCATACTAGGCTTTTAAAAACTGTTCTCCATTTGTGCCAAGACTCAAATAAAAAATTAAAATAAAAAAAGGCCAGCAAATGTATTGCTCACAATGGCATATTTTGCTAATGACCACTCTATATATCCAAGACATTGGGAATGGACTGGTATGCTCCATGCATATGCATCCTTCCACCAAAGGCTGTACATGCCATTCTGCTTGTGCACTGTATGATTTGTGGTAGTCTGTTGCATTGTTTGTGGGTTACATACTTAATGGTTCGTGAACATTTGTAGTCTTAATTAATGACCATGATGTGACGTTGTTTGTCACATAGATGGTGCTTTTTAAAGTTAAATGATATTTGTCATTTAGGAGAACAATTTAAATCTTTTTTTATTTAACCCCTTAAGGACTAGACTGTTTTTGCGATGTTGTACATTTGCGACCAGGCATATTTTTACACTTTTGTGGTGTTTGTGTTTGGCTGGAATTTTCCGCTCTCTCATTTACTGTTCCCATACAAATTATATATTGGTTTTTTTCAGGACAAAAGGGGCTTTCTTTACATACCATTATTTATATAATCTCATGTATTTTAATTTAAAAAAAATAAAAAAATATGATGAAATATTGAAAAAAATACATGTTTTTTGACTTTTACTTGAAAAATCTTTTACTCATCTACAAAAGCGAATTAAAAAAACTGCTAAATAGATTCAAAATTTTGTCCTGAGTTTAAAAATACCCCGTGTTTACATGCTTTTTTGCTTTTTTTTGCATGTTATAGGGCTATAGGTACAAGTAGAATATTGCGGTTTCAAAACATAAATTTTTAAAATTTATCAATAGTGACATTGTCACACTATTATCTGTCATAAATCTCTGAATAACACCCCACATGTACATATTTTTTTTAAAGTAGACAACCCAGGGTATTCAATATGGGGTATGTCCAGTCTTTTTTAGTAGCCACTTAGTCGAAAACACTGGCCAAAGTAAGCATTCATATTTGTTTGTGTGTGAAAAAGTAAAAAAACTAAATTGAACGCTAATTTTGGCCAGTGTTTGTGACCAAGTGGTTACTAAAAAGACTGGACATACCCCATTTGCAATACCTTGGGTTGTCTTCTTTTGCAAATGGTATGCCATCATGGGGGTAATTCTCATTCCTGGGCTACCATACGCTCTCAAAGGCAACGTAACCAACCTGGCCATTTTCAATGTAAAAATATTTGACCCATATATTTGACCTTGTAACTTTCAAAAATGCTATAAAACCTGTACATGGGGGGTACTGTTTTACTCGGGAGACATCGCTGAACACAAATATTAGTGTTTAAAAACTGGAAAACGTATCACAACAATTATATCATCAGTAAAAGTGCTGTTTGTGTGTGAAAAATGCAAAAAAAGTCACTTTCACTGACAATATCATCGCTGTGATATGTTTTACTGTTTTGAATCACTAATATTTGTGTTCAGCGAAGTCTCCCGAGTAAAACAGTACCCCCCATGTACAGGTTTTAGGGTGTCGTAGAACGTTACAGGGTAAAATACAGTGCTAGCAAATTCAGTTCTCTGGAATTTCGGCCTGGGTTGGCAGGCAGGTCCCTTAAATTGCAATCAATAAAATTACTGAATTATGTAAAACTATTACATAAATACGCACGTAGAATTTAAATATATATGCATATTTATATATCTGAAGTCTACGTGTATATTTATATAATTATTTATGTAATTTTGTATATGGACATATGTATATTTCTTATTATTTTTATTTATTTTTATATACATAGATATATATACAAATTCATTCTAAGTGTATTTTGATATAAATATATATATATTAATTTTAAAATACAGTTAGAATAAAATTTCATATAGATATATAATTTTTAATTTTTTTATTATTTAAAAAATGTTTTATTTAATTTAAATTACTTATTATTTATATTTTATAATATATATACAATAAATAGTTATTATATATATTATATATATATATATACGTGTGTAATTTAATTATAAGTGTATTTTTATATTAATATAAGTACATATTAATATAAAAATACACTTAGTATGGCATTATATATATATATATATGATATATAGACATATATTATATAGATATAATATATGTCTATATATCATATATACACATATATAATTATTATTTTTTTAATTAACATTAACTTTATTTTTTTTTCTGATTTTACACATGCAGGGAGACTGCCTGTCAGCACAGACAGTCCCCCTGCAGGCAGACACTAGGACACCTATTGTGACCATGTGATCGCTGTGTTGAGCGATCACATGGCCACAGGGGTCCTAATTCAGTGTGGGGAGACTGTATGGGCTGCAGGCAGTCTCCCCACAACCGGAGCAACGCTGATCGCCGCCGGGGGAACGACGGCGATCAGGTAAGTAACGGAGACCGTTAGGACGGTTCAGGACCGTCATCGGTCCTCAAGGCAAAAATGCCGATGACGGTCCTGAACCGTCCTCTGTCGCTAAGGGGTTAACAAAGCTTGCTCTCACTCTGGGGTTGCTAGAATTACTGTGCTGTTTGACCTCCACCATATGTCTTATTGTTACCTGTTATACGTACTTCAATTTACTCACTAGTTTGTACTTTTATTTATATTTACTTTTTAACACCAAAAATATGATATAAAGTAATAGATGGTAAAAACAGCTTTGTGTGTGTGTGTGTGTATATAGTGGTTCACTGGCTTTGCTCCTCTTCCTGAGTTTTTTTTAAAGCTGTTGTATACAGCAGACACATACTCCAAGGAATCCATGTATAATGTGGATTTATGAGGCAAAAATGTGGTTCTTTGTTGAGCTCATTTGCATACGCCTACCCAGAATCCCTTGCACTAGGGAGAGCACTGTTAAAGTGAGATTTCTGTGGGAAAAGAGTCTTATGGCTTGACTGGTGTGTGTATTTGTGTTTAGCAATGTATTAACTAATATATACAAATAAATATATTTACATTTTTTTTATTTATTTAAATTGTGTTCTTTTCTGGTTTTATGTTTCTTTACCTATTTACTCAGATCTATTACCTTTTGCCAAAATATTCCATGCTGCTCCTATTATGTCACTTTAATTCCCAGTTCCATTTTGTATCTTTTCTTTTGGTTCACTGATTTGTTCATTCCAAAAAAATAAAAAGGCGTGCAAAAATGTGCCGTTTATTTACAACAAATATTTCCTCCACTTTCATAGTCAGATTTTCTGTGACCGTTAATGAGCTGTCTGTCTCCCTTTTTATTTTATTTATTAAAATTATATTTAAAAGAAATAAAATGAAAAAAGAAAGTTTATACATTGTGAACATCTATTTTTTCTTTTCCTAGTCATATACCCATTTGTCTTAATTTGTGAATGTGATCAATGATGAAATCAAAATATAATATTTTTAAAATAGTAGAGGGGTAAAAAGAGGTTGATTTATTTTGGTGCTTTACAGAAAAAAAAAGACAAAAGTGCTTAAAAGGTGGTGTAACCGTTTTGTGCACAGTAGTGCCCAGCGAATAGTGTTTTTAGACATTCAACTTTTTTTTTTTTTCTTTTTTTTTTTACATATGTCTTTTACAGCAGGGCTTTTATTATTGAATAATTCATTATATTATTAATTTCTTGTTGAGAATCTTTGGTTAACAAACATTTGTTGCTTCCTGTATTGCAGGTGTCAGCTGCGATGCATGTTTAAAAGGAAATTTCAGAGGCCGTAGATACAAGTGCTTAATTTGTTACGATTACGATCTGTGCGCATCTTGTTATGAAAGTGGTGCAACTACAACAAGGCATACGACTGACCATCCAATGCAGTGCATATTGACAAGGGTAGACTTTGGTAAGTGTTCTGTTGCATACTCACCATGGAGAAAACACACACTTTTTTTCCCTCTATAGTCCTATGTATAGCTATTGAAGATGGACTTTGTTTTCTGTTGCATATAAGTAAAACTAACCACACTGCTCTTTTACTGCTGCAGAAAGTGTTGCATAGAAAGTTGGTAATAGAGTTGCATGGAGATGCAAAAAAAAACCCCATAGCTGAACGATTTATATTAACTCTATAGTGTTGGGTATAAAAACCACGTACTTCTATGCTATAGTGACCTGGTCACTATTTAGGTTCCTGGCCTCCCTCCGAGTGCATGAAATGGTTCGATTTACTTTTTATGCATTGCCGCGCTGGTCTCCGGACCACTGCCCCAACTCTTTGCCTGAGATTATCAGTCTTGATGATTTCAGACAATCCAATGTTTACCTATAGGAAAGCCTTGGGAGGCTGGTGCGCATGCACAACAAATCACTGTAATTATATATGCGTGGCATCACAGTATGTAAATCAGAAGTAGTGACTTAAGAGTAAAAAAATACATTTGGAAAGGGGAAAATGCTGTAAACCACAAAAAAAATACTTTAAGTTAGATATTAAAACTCTGTCGCCATGGCGCCTGGGATTTGTTGAGCCCTGTCTTGATTCATGTGCCTTCATGAAACGGTTTCCTGTTTCTTAAGTGAATTCTATGGACCACAAAGCAGCAGCACCCACTCTCACCAGCCTCAGTACAGCTCTGGTTGTATTACAGCACCTTTTACCACTTCTGGTGTGTACCATAAAATTAGAAATATAAAATAATAGTAATATAAAACAAAAAAAATTTTCAATTTAAGATAGATAGATAGATATATATATATATATATATATATATATCACACACAAGTTATAAACTTCTGTAGTTAATTCAAATAAAGATGTCTTTATAGACATAGGAGCATATAGCACACAAATCTCACCATTCAGGAAAAAAAAAACTGAATGTGTAGTGGTTACAGATGTCCTAACACAGGACACGGCTAGCTCTCCTCCTACTAGTGTGCTCCCATCCCTCACTACTAGAGTCCCCCCCAGCTAGTGTCCCCCCATTCCTCACTACTAGTGTGCCCCCATCCCTCACTTTTAGAGCCCCACATCTAGCCCCCCCATTCCTCACTACTAGAGTCCCCCCATCCCTTACTACTATTGTCCCCCATCAAGTGTCCCCCCCCATACCTCACTAGTAGTGCCCACCCACTCACTTACCTGATCAGTCGGCTGATTGCAGGCTGGGAGCTGCTTGCTCTGTGCTGTTCCCCTGCAGACTCAGAGTATAGAGAGAGGCAGAGAGATGAAGTTCCTGTCCCTGCCTCTCTCCACACACCGGTATTGCGTCTCTAATTTCAATCACAGAAAAAAATACCGGCATTTGTGTTGCTGGTATTATTGCAATACCGGCACCGGCCAGGCAGCCTGAAATACCGGCTATGACAGTACAACACCGGCTAGGTGGCAACCCCTACGTTCCTTTGAAATTAAGTTGGTTTTCAAATGGCACCTTGACTCACAACACCGAATTCAATCAAGGTAAGTGACTGAACATTTGATTTTCTTTTTGTTTCTAAACTGACTTTAAATTTACTTTATTTTTATTTTTTTTAAACCTTTTGATATGTCATTACATCCTAGCAGTACTGGGCTTTAATGATGTTTGGACTTGTTGACATATCTCAACAGAGAATCCCAGGTATCATTTGAGTTATGATACCTGATAATTAATGCTGTAAACAGTCAGTAGATGGCAGTCACATACTACTTTCTACACTTTTAACTAGGAAATCAATCTGCTGATATTGGTACTGATTTTCACAGAGGGTCTTTCTTAACGGTTAGTGTTAGGGTAAGGTGAGGGTTATAGTAGGTATATGGTTAGAGTTGGTGTAAGCAAAGGATTGAAGGTAGGGTTGGTATACGGTTAGTGATAACTACCAGAAATTAATTTAGATCCTAGACCTATGAGGCATTTAACAATCAGGACTGATATGTGAATCTGTTTAATTGAGTATCTTTAGCTGATCTGGATGTGAAAAAATTATAAGAAAATATGTGGTGGGAAAATGTGTTTTTTTTTTTTTTTTTTTCTCATTTGTGTTTTACATGTTATTCACATCTTAAAGGGACTCTCCAGGCAGACGATTTTACTAACCTGGTTCCAGCGCCGGGAGCTTCGTGAAGCCACGCCCCCTATCTCGTCAAAATGACAAAATAGGCGGGCGTGAGCAGGGAGCAATCAGACGCTTCCATTTGGAATCGTCATTGCTCCCTTTTGCTCTTTTTTTTTTATTTATTTTTTTAAACATTCATATGACAGATTCACTCTGGCGGTGGTTCCCAACGTTTTTTGGACCAAGTCACACTTCAATGAGAGAAACATTCAAAGCACACCTACTTTTTACCATTATCAGCAGCTTACATAGATTTATAGAGCATGCTTTTGACTGTAGACTGAACTAGTTTTAGTTCATTCCCAAATTGACATTAAATGGTTTATTTTTTATTTTTTATATGTCTGCATTAAAACTATTAAGACTGCTTTCAACATATTATGGCACTGAAATCACTGTGTTTGATGCACTATGTGAGGTGGCTTGTATCTCTTCACACTGAAAAAAAAAACAAAACACTGTTCTATGAGATAAAGTGAGGCTTCGAGTGCATCATCTGTACACAAACACTTCTTCATTAAGCTAAAGTTGTTTTGGTGCCTACGGTGTCCCTTTAAAGCACTCTGACTGACTGCACTTAAAGGACCACTCCACACCCCAAAAGCACTTTAGCTTGGTATCCTATTCTAACACCAGTATATAAAAGTGCTGATTTGTATGTAAAATGGTGCACACGCTTGCTCAAGGACACAAATTTGGAGGCTTCTTAATGAGTCTGCATGTCTATTTATTTATGTGCAGGTTTTTGTTGAGGTTTGCGTCATTGACAGTGGTTGTCCGTCACTTTTACAGGACAAGTGGGAAATGTCGTAGAATTCAGCAGTCCCATGCCCCTGTATAATGGGATGGATAATAGATCATTAGGTCATTTTTAGTGGCTATTCAGGGATATTGGTTCTTTAACTCCAGCACTGATTTATTTATTTATTGTATTTTTTGTGTGTGGGGGTTCCGGTGTATGGTACATATAGTACCAGAAAACCTCCACGGTACTGTATATGAATGTGTAAGTATCCTCATTAATAATAAATAATTTTAGGAATATTGCTAATCCTCTGTTAATTCCATTTTCCAACTTCCAGAATGTGCTTGCTGCTTCATTGCTAACATTTTGCAGTATGTATATAAACATTATCTCAAGCTTGTTAACTTCTCTCCTTGAACTCAGTGACATGCCAATTATTTATTTACCTTTTAATTTTGTTTATAAAACATCTTGATTTAGAAGACAGAGCAATTGAAACCAGATAATTATGATATATTTCTATCATTATGGATACTATGTCCAAATATGTCGTACATGCAATTTAATACTTTTTTAAAAATTTTTCTTCTTCTCGGTTTTCCATTACAGATTTATACTATGGTGGTGAAGCTTTCTCTGTAGAGCAGCCACAATCTTTTACTTGTCCTTATTGTGGTAAAATGGGTTATACAGAAACTTCGCTACAAGAACACGTCACTTCTGAACACGCAGAAACGTCCACAGAAGTGGTAAGCTTTTCTTTGGATGCTCTTTATTTTTGTTTGCACCTTATTTGCAGTATCTGTTTTCGTGGCAGTGTTGTTTCTACATATTGCTATAAATACCGAAAATTGCAAGTTTTAGGCCAAAACTGCTGAGCAGTTATTTTGACCTAAAATTTATTACAGTGTCCGTTGTCCAAGGTTTAATGAATAACTTTGTAAGCATAATAATTTAATCTGAAATGAAAACGGACTCAAATTTTTACTTGTTTCTCAAGCAGATAATCTAACATGAAAGTCAGCATTAAGTGACGTATAACATAAACTTCTTAATTTTTAATCGGGATAACATGCAATTGAGGTTTTTAGAAAAAAGGTGAGAAAGACTTGCCAAAGTGTATACTTATCTAGAAGTATCATCGAACATGTAGTGTTCCGCCAGGACCGGTGAAGACTAAACTGGTGTCCGTAGCAGAAGAAGAGACTATGTAGTAGTGGTAATTTTGTCGACTAACATTTTTGAGTTGACTAAAACTAAAACAATTCAAATAACTAAAACTGCTTTTTAGTCAAAAGATTATGACTAAAACTAAATTGAAATTTGCTGCCAAAATTAACACTTCACCAAGGGGCTGTGGAAGGGGCAAAAGAGACAGACCACGGCTTGGTAGAGAGACACCTAGAGGGGCTGGAGGGACACACAGACACAGAGGGGCTTGGGAAGGGGCAAAAGAGACAGAGGCTTTTACTAAACCCGTTAGATTTTAGTCGTTTTGATTAAAATATACTTGAGATTTAGTCGACTCAAACTAGAATAAAACTAAAACAATTCAGATGACTAAAACAAAATGGCTTTTTAGTCAAAAGACTGACTAAAACTAAATATATTTTTTTACATACAGCTCATGATTTCAGTGCTAGTTGCCATGATGACCAGCCAGTGCCACGTGGCCTCCTTGCAGCCTTAGCCAGCACTGCCTGCCGCTGTTTTCAGTGCATACTGCACTCCTATCAATACTATTAACCTCTCCTCAGCCAGCCTGTCAGTTTGGAGTTATGAGCCTGTGCCCTTATTATTATTATTATTATTATTATTATTATTATTATTATGGTATTATTTATATAGCGCCAACAAATTCCACCGGGCTTTACAATGGGTGGACGAACAAACATGTAGTTGTAACCAGACAAGTTGGACACACAGTAATAGAGGGGTTGAGGGCCCTGCTCAATGAGCTTACATGCTAGAGGTAGTGGGGTAAAGTGACAAGAAAGGTAAGGATATTAGTTGCCTTTGCTCTTTTGGACATTTCTGTGGATGAGGTTGCAGATCTGTTGGATATCTTCGTGCCCTGTAAGAGTAGAAATGAAAGTGCTGCTATAAAGGATACCATTGAAGTTATTTTGACGCTCCCCTAATTTTGCCATTTGTCACAATATATGTGTTTCCTAATTGTAGTTGTTGTGTGCAGGCTGTTTGCCTACCATGCCTTCTTTGTCTCATTCTGCTCATTTTAGAGGTTTTTTCTCCACCGTAAGTTTGGCACTCTGGGGCATAACTATCTTGTTGGGTCCCTCTGGCACAACTGTGTCTTTGACCCTGAAGCTTTACGAGGCCATATCGTCTGACAAATGCTTTTTTCCAGTACATCAAGCAGTGTGTTCCATTATTAACAACATCTGGGAGATGCCATTAGTCTTCTTTGAACTTTCATCATATTTTCAAACACGTTTACCTGGTCACCAGTCCTTACTGCAGATAGCGCTATATTATGTCTCCTCTAGAAAACCACTATATATCTGGAGGACAGTTCATCTTTTAAGGAATAAATATATAAATAAGATTTTGGAAGGCATGCTGTAAAAGACATCATGCATTTGGCCTCATTAATCACTTGCCTTTTGTGGTATGATCAGATGGAGGCTGCTTTCTATTTAGTCTACTCTAAAGAACTCATAAAAAGAGTTTAATTTCATATTGGTTACATTTGGCTATGTGCTGCTTGCAGGGATATTCTGAGACTTTTTCTCCAGGAACTCGACCACTTAAGAAATGGTCTACTCACCAAGCTCCCAAGTTGAACCTGCTGGTGCTCATCTTTTCAGTCACCATCTTGTTTGACCCAGGTTTAAAGGTCATTAGCAGTTTGTGATGTGGCCCTTTGCTCTGGCCACTGTTCCATTTGTCTTTACTAAACTCTTAGGGGCCATGATAGCTTGAGCTCATGGTCTTGCCTTGTCAGTTTACTCCTACTTAGACAACATTCTTCTCTAGGTGGACAAGCATGCAACCTTTCGTATATACCAGCTTATCAAATTCCTGTGTGTCTACCTACAACGAGTTCCATCACCATGCTCTTCTTTATGGGTTTGGTTTTGGATATGGCCTGCATGAGAGTTTTCCTTTGTGCTGCCTGTTTCCCCCTTTCATAGTCTTACTCTGCCTGTGGTCGATTTGTATCGTTGTTGTGGGTCTCGCAGTTGTGTCCTCAGATGCAATACTTGTTGCACTGTTTTAAGTTCTGCCAATACAATGTCCGTTGCTCAGATATTGGAACGTGGATCTAAGAGTTGAAGTGAATTGTGGGGGTCACTGCATGCTTAGGGGACTTGATATCCTCTGAAGGTGAGGTTACCAATCTGTCATCAAAATTCATGCGATATGCATGCCTTTATATTTTGTTCTGCCTTGGGAGTTGGCACTCACATAAGGTAATACCAAATAGTACGAAGTGAAACGATGTCTCGTCCATCTGACTTGTGTGTGTGTGTGATTTGCTCAATATGTGCATGATAGCGGCTAATGTGGTATGATTAGATATCTGGGGTAGAGAATGACTTACGGTTTGTGGATGTCTCCGTAATGAAAACTTTGACTCCAGCACATAAATTCTAGGGAAATTCATCAAGCCCTACCATAATAACCATATCCTAGCCCAACCAGCCATATACTTGTACTGCAATTCCCAACCCTAGCCGCATACTATAATCCCATGCTCTGTCATTAGCTTTAAACCACTAATCTACTGGCTCCTAGTCCATGGGTCAGGACCCAAAAATTGATCCCCATGTCTTTTTCATGGGTCCCTAGAAACTGTAAAGTGTTTAATATTTACTGTAGCATAACTATCTTGCCCAGAACAGTTGAGATCCTTCTGAAACTGGGAACATTTTAACTGAGGTATTCCAACGCAGTGTATCCCTCTTTCACCTTACCTTATTATCTCTTTCACCCCATTCTTGTTTCTACTAGTTTCTGCTGACCAATGTCTTCCCTCCATGCTCTCTTCCCGTGCCACTTCTCAAATGTTTCTCTCTACATTGTACTCAATATAAGCATCATAACTATTGCAAACCAATTCAGTGGTTATGGTGCTAAGAGTACCCTGTCACCATACCATGGTAAACTGTTTACACATTTGTTGACACTTACATGGCTCTGTCAACACCTGAAGTCCTTCCAGTGTCCATGAATATGCTAAAAAAGAAAATCATGCTTTGGCATTAGCAAAGTACATTTTGTGCAACTTTGGAAATGTTTCATTGGCTGTGAGTGTAAGCCAATGGACATTGGACTTGAATAATGTGCAAAACAGCACAAAATTAATATTGCTAGTGCCAAAGTATGAACTTCCACTTTATTAGTGCAGACCATAAGGACCATGGACACCAAACAGAGCAAGGTGTGTCAAACTGTTTATAAATGTTTTTTTACAGCTTACTGTTGAATGACGCCATGTGAATTGTGGCAACATAACCACTGCAGAGTTCAGAGTTTCCCTTAGGGTGTAACATGCCAGTGGAATTGGCAGTCTTTGATGTGCTGTTCTTACGTGCAGTTTATGTGATTAAATATTAAAAAATCTGATTTCATATCTCCTCTATCACACATAGCGTGCATCTGATCAGCACTCTGAGGAGACATTTACTGGAGCAATTACAGCCATGGCTTATGTGAGAGGAATTGACAATCTACACCAAGACAGCATGCGTAGTAGGGTGGGTTATATTGCTTGTTACAGATCGTCCCAGCCATGTGGTAGGCATTGGCATATTTTTCAAAAAAATGGTCATGGTAGCAGAACCATGTCCTTTACTGGTTACTGGCCCTTTTCGCTTGACGGCAACTCCACTTCTTAATGTTCTAAAGGTCTCCACTGAATTTCACAACACAGTGCTGCTACTATAAATCATTCATTATGGGTAGTTTACCAGGGTTTTATCACTATGGTGAGTTCATTACCACTATCTGACATTAGCACGTGGATACGGTTTTGTTGTATTTAACCTGGGATAGTTTGAGTGACTGATAATAGCATATTTCTTAGTGTACAAAATGGATCCCCTTGGTTATGAAAATGAATCTTTACATGGTCTTATATTCTTGTCTTTGCAGATTTGTCCCATATGTGCAGCATTACCTGGAGGAGATCCAAATCATGTCACAGATGACTTTGCTGCCCATCTTACACTTGAACACAGAGCTCCTAGGGATTTAATATCCTTTTGTCCTCTATTAACATTTTATTACTACTGACGTAGGTGAATTGTCCCTGTATAATGTAAACATGAGTATATGTGTGGAAATGTTCATTTCAGATAAGAACTGACGGTCAATGAATACCATCACAGCAGATCCACATAGATCTTTATATTTCACTAAGGAAACGTGTAAAAATGGAATTGCTTATCAAATCTCTTGCCCAATGCAATCACAAGGAAACTGGTATTTCAATTAGATTGTTCTGACACCCTAAATTCCTGAATGTGTGGACTAATTTTTTAAACAATATTTCTTAACTCAAAACGTAATTTCAGGGCACAGTCTTCTTAAAGTAAGCATTATACTCTTAAGGTGTTACTCAAAATAAAAACACTATTTTTGGTTACAGTAACCCTTACTAGCATGGTCCCCTCCTGAAAACTTACCTGCTTTCCAGTGCCAAGGCCAGGTTCCCTCAGCAGCCTGCCTGAAATCACTCAAGTGGTCATAGTGTGTGGAGTAAGCATTTCAATGTAGTTATTTAAAATATTGATTATGGGCATTGACCTATATTGCAGTCAGGTAAATGAAAGAAACTTAAACCGTACTGAGAAAAGGGTATTTTGTCTCTACATATCTTGTGTGTTTAATTTCATTATTTTATTAGCATTTCTTCTGTCAATGTTACTCCTCTTAACTTCTGTCCACGATGAATCCAGTGGAGTTCGGCATGTACGAAGGATGTTTCACCCTGGCCGAGGGCTGGGAGGACCTCGAGCTCGGAGATCAAACATGCACTTTACTAGCAGTTCCACTGGAGGGCTTTCATCATCACAGAGTTCATACTCTCCCAGCAATAGGGAAGCAATGGATCCTATAGCTGGTATTATGCATATTCTCTCAACATAAAAAGTCTTGCTATTAAATCCACACTCGTCAAAAACAAAAAACAAAAATCCTCTGTTGATCTCTGCCCCAACTATGAAGTATCTGATATCAACCAACCAGTCTAAGTCTCTCATTGAAAGCTGAGCATGATATTATTTTCTGCAGCACTTTACAATTATAGAATATAGACAAAAAGTAATTGACATACAGAATAATATTGCAAGAGACCAGGCCCCGCTCAGGCAAACATTGTCGTAATTCCATGAGATTAGATGAATGGAGTTGTAGACATAACTACAAATACAACCCCCCCCCCCCCCATACATAAGTATGCCTTAAATTATATCTATGTACAAAGCATACCAAGTACACTATTTATGGTTATTGAAACACAAATGAATTGGTAAATGTGTTTTATAAATTCTGTAAATTTTGCCTATATATAATGCGGTTTTGTCTTCCTGGGCAGAACTATTATCTCAATTATCAGGAGTGAGGCGTTCAACAGGAGGACAGCTTAACTCCTCGGGCCCTTCTGCATCACAGCTGCAACAACTGCAGATGCAGTTACAGCTTGAGAGGCAGCAGGCACAGGCAGCGAGACAACAACTAGAGACGGCACGTAACGCAACTAGGCGCAACAATGCAAGTGGTGTCACAACCACAATTACGCAATCAACAGCGACAACCAACACATCGAATACGGAAAACAATCAACAGACTATACAGAATTCACAGTTCCTTCTCACAAGGTATGTGGATTTTACACCAGTGTTTAGGAATAAAAAAAGGGAGAGATTTATAATCACTGTGCCTGGTGTATGACAAATGTGACAGAGACAAAAGCAAACAAATATTTTATTAGGATGTATATTTCCCGAAATGTGAGAAAGTGAGTCTTAAACTAATGACAATTTAACCTTCCAATTTCCTTACACCTATGTAGTACAGTAGACAGAATCATTGTGATAGTATTTGTGGTTTTCATTTTTGCTTTTTACATTTTTTTTTTAAGGTATTCAGGGAAGCTGGCATATAGTGATTAAATCTTTTAAGGAACACCCTAAGCCTTTTAATACAGCTTATTGTAGCATATATGTGTAAGGAGTCTTTTGGTACATTATCTAATCTATTTGTCAGAATGTTGTTTATTGACCCAGTTTCACAAAGAACGCTACCACCATGGGAATGTGAGTTTTATTTCTGCATTATTCAAGTGAAATAATTCCAAATTTAGAAGGCAATTATAAACTCCAAGTGGTAGGTTAAGCCACTCACAACCTGTCAGCACCATCCAAATTTGGATAGGTTTGTGAAAATTGTGAAGTGAACTAATAAGCTGTAGGAAAAATAGATTGGGGTACAATCCCCTTGCAAGTTAAGATGTGTGTGTGTGTGTGTATCTGGTATTCCTAGCACTCACCTGTAGTACAGTATAGCACAGTATCTGTCTGTAGTGGTCACTGCAGATGTTTGTGTTTTACAATGATTTGCAAGATGTGACACCAGCAAGGTTATTCACTTAAATAAAAATCACTGTTTAATAGATACAACCAATATGAAAACATGCATTCATTATGAGGGTATGTCTAAATAAACAGCTTACACATGCTGCATTTCTCTTCTCCCATTCTAACCCCACCCAGACGTAGTTTCTGTCCAATCACAGACTTCCCAATGCAGCACAATGAAAAGTCTTTGCGAAGCAGGTGCTATGGGCAATAGCTGCCTCTTGAGTTTAGCTCCATTGTGCTAATCAAACCAGGAAGTTACAAGAACGTCACTATAGCATTGGCAATACACATTAAAATGCTGTAGTGTTCATTTAAGACCAAAATGGAACCATTTAAATTTGGCTATGGTTCCAGTTCAGCTACTTTTGGGCTTAAATTTGAATTCACTTTGAAATTCTCAAGCAGGGCAAATTTACTAAGGATGCGGGCAGACAGGTGGTGGGTGTTCTACACCCATGAGTATGATAAGGAGATATGGTGAGTGTTATCTCCAAATTTTACTTTGACTACATCATGTATTTTTGTGGTGTCTGATATATTAAATGTATTTGGTTGGGATACTTAAATGGACTGACATCTATACTTGAATTACTCCAAACCTTATGTACAAATTACCTTTTCAAATTCCTATTTGCATCACTCTTCTATATTGAATTTGTCATCTCATCTGTACTCTCACTTTTTTTTTTTGTGTGTGCAGATTGAATGATCCTAAGATGACGGAGGCCGAAAGACAGTCAATAGAAAGTGAAAGAGCTGACCGCAGCCTGTTTGTGCAGGAGCTCCTCCTGTCAACATTGATGCAGGAAGAGAGCTCTTCCTCCGATGAGGACGAGCGGGGAGAAATAGCTGATTTTGGGGCAATGGGATGTGTAGATATTATGCCTTTAGATGTTGCGTTAGAAAACCTTAATCTAAAAGAGAGTAATAAAGGAAACGAGCCTCCGCCACCTCCTCTTTGATGACATCCCCCTTTGCAGACAATGTCCTCTGTGCTGTAACTGCCAATGAAAGTGGACAAACAACTATCTTTGGGTTTGTTTTGGTGATTGTAATTTCCGGTCTGTCACTCTTGTTACATTGTGTACATTCAAAAAAAAAAAAAAAATTAAAAAAAAGAGAGAGGCAAATATATATAATTCACTTAACTAATTTTTACTTCTAGCAGGTAAACATAGGTAGCAGTACCAGAGGCAGCATCCTGCTTCCTGTACCTTGACGTAAACAAATAAATAAGACTCTCCTAATCTCCCACATTCAAACTGAACAAGGAAATAATAATAATAATAATAAAAAAACAAATATATGGAAACAAAAATCTCTAATGAAGCTGCTGTGTGTATTTATGAATATTAATGAATAAAAACTGCTTGGATGGTTTACCATAACTACTGCATGAGGTTTTTTGCAGCGTGCATGAGTTTTTAGTGACATTGTCATTAAGAAAAAAAAACAAAAAGAGAACTGGCTTAAATTTTAAGGTCATAAAGCCATTTAAATCCCAAAGCTTTCCTAAGCATTATTCAAAAGGTTACAGCACCCGACGACATGCAATGTTAACTGTTGACTAGCCGTTTGTAGCCATGGATCTTTTGAATAATGTAATTGATAAAAACGTTTTTATGTGAGTGTTTAAAGCACATCAGGCAGACTCTGCAGTGGCATTAACTGTGTGTCTTTTTAAGGGCATTTCACCTTTTAGTATTAAATCACATTAATCACCTTGTGGTTGGTGTAAAAATGTTTTTTTGGTTTTTGCCCCTCTCTATTTCATTTTGAACTTTCACCTGAACTATAACATTACAGTTTAGGTCACTGTCAGACTTTGCTTGTAGTGTTCCCTTATTCCAAACTTGTTCATTGTTCAGCATTTTTTTTTTTTATTATTATTTTTTTGAAAGAGGGGTTATTTTTGTTTGTTGTTTTTTTTGGGGGGGAAGGAGCTTTTTTTTATTTTTATTTTTTTGCTCGAGGTTGTTTAGAAGGAAAACTGTTTTGACTGTTTAAACATGTTTTATCCAGGTGTAGGCACATTCATTTAATTGCTGTTTAAACTAAAGTTTGCTTTGATTTTGTTGTCTTGGTTTAAAGAAAGAAAGAAAAAAAAAATTGAAAAAAATACCTTTCACATTCTCAATCATATTTTTTTTTTTTTGAGTTTTTCTTATTTATTTACTTGCTTCATAGTTTTGCAGAGACTTGTCCGCAAAAGAAGAGCTTGAGGGTTTGATTCCCACACTTGTTGATATATAACAATGGAATTCCTATTGCTAACGTAGCACCTTTTTTTATTTATTGTTACTTTGTTTCAGTTTTTTCGGCATACAAGTAAAAAAGCCTTTTGATTAAATCATGCCACCTACATGCCTATACTATTAATCCTATATGTAAAAATATGTACAGTGTTCTTTTTGTGCATAGACTTTCATAAAGGGCCCGAAAAAGGGATAGCAGATTTTTTTGTTTTTTTTGTTTGTTTTTTGCAATGTAAATTTAGAATATAAAGAAAATAAACAAACGTGCGCACAGCTTCTGATCAATCGACAGATTCACTCACATGATCATGTCTATATTTAATTCTCTCTCTCTCTATCCCTCGTTTCAATTGCTTTTACGAGTTTACATTAATTCATCTTGGCAACGTCACATGACTCCTAGAATAAAAAAAAATCCGACTTCCACACTGGTTAGTATGATCTCAGAATAACGGTTATATATTGTAATACACAATAGTGTTGAATCGAAACACTAAGATTGTTATTGTTTCAACTGTTCACATTTTCCCAGAATGCTCAGAATATACTGTATTTATGCACAGTGTAGCACTTGAATGTTTTGAGCCTCATGTGCCATGCTTATGGTGCTAAAAGGTTAAAGTGGAGATTTGATTCATGTCCTCTAGTCACTGTAGCATTTTAGCCCGGTTAACTTTTTTTTTTTTTATTTGTTGAGGATTTCCAAAAAAAAATTTAAAAAAATAACAGTTTCTTTAAGCTGTAGACTTTTCAAACACATTCTGCACATTTACAGCTATACATTCAGTTCAATAAAGCATTTTCAAGACTGTTGCTCAGTTGATTTTCTGTTTTTTATTTTTCTTTATTTTTTATCAATGCAGACTTCCTCTTAGCAGGAAGTATTCTACGTCATAATGACTTTGTGTTTCTCATCCAAATGAATCAGAAAAGCAATTATTTTCTTGGTACACAATTGAAAAATAATACATTTTCTTATAGAAACCTAATGTATGGCTGTAATATTTTTCCCAGATTGTGACCAGCAACTGGAATGAAGCATGATAATAAAACCACAATGCAATGGTTATGCATAGAGGTGTACGCAGCAATATCAAATTTCTCAGGAGGACCTGAAAAGAAATTATGCATCCTCCACTTTTTTACGTTTACGTAGTCTAACCGATGTGAATGATTTATTCAAATCGATGTTTCTCAGTTATGTAACCCCCGCTTAAAAATTAACCATTTGGCTCTTGTGCATAGTGGACTGCCAACAATAGGCAGTGGCAGTTCAGATTTAAACTGAACAAAATAACCAAATGTTGCACCCCATGATGTGGCAAACAGTAACATTAAATCAATCATCTCTCTAGTCCATGTTATATCAGTAAAAAACCAACAGAAAATCTGTACATGAACAGTGAAAATAGGCAAACTGGGAAAAGGAGAAAGACGTACCACCACACGGCTGAAACTGAACATGTTTCACATCTACATTGGACACTTTGCCAACCGTATTAAGCGTAGGACTTCTGTTGAAATGTAGAAGCGAATATTGATTCATATTAGAGCTGTACAAGTTACACGTCTCGTGAATCCATTGCATGATTATGGTCAGGTCATAAAGGGAAATTCTTCTTTTGATCTATTGGACACCAACACCTTTAAAACTCTGCCAAATTCTTTAGTGGAGTTACCTTTTAAATATTAGTACTTATTTAAAAAAAAAATTTAAGCATAATATGATTTTAAACCCTTACAGTACAGGTCTCTAACAAGGTAACTTTTCTCAGAAATCTTTCTACACAGGACTGTCCTATTTAAATATTTACACGTAGTGATATCTCAAAGATTGGCTTTACTGTTGTATTAAAGCAACTCTTATTATTGAACTAATATATAAAATTAAATCTAGGCAAGAACACAGGCTAACATGGAAATGTTTGAAGGATCGTTCCGGCTGTACACAGCTTTGAGAATGGGGAGAAATCTAGCATCCTATGTGAAAACATTGCAAAAATCAGCACTAGCCGCATTCCATCCGAAATATAGTTAAAGAAATGCAACTTGCTATTTCCCTGAATGCTAAATAGTGTGAAAACCAAAGGGACAGTTATACCGCTTTTGTTGTATGTTAATTAATTGATAGATACTCCAAGCTTTTCATACAGCCTTTCAATGATTTGTTGACTGTAAAGCCAGAGATCAATCCCCATGTTTCAGTTCTTTAGAACTTGTTACCTGGAAACACATTATTAGGGAATATTCCTCAACAGGAATGCTGCACTGCATAGTGACAAACATACATTGTTTAGGGCAGGGGTGCCCAAAAGGTAGATCACCAGATATTTTAAAACTACAGCTTCCACGATATTTGTAATTCTAGAATTCATGGGAGGTGCAGCTCTACAACATCTGGGGATCTACCTTTTGGGCACCCCTGTTTTAGGGGTTTCCTGCAGTAAAACAATGGGCAATGAAGCTATGTGCCAGAGCCTCCAGAATATACAAAATACCAGATAATGAAGTTATGTTCCACGACCTCCAGAGGGCGCCCACACACTCATCGGTGTGTAATGGCCAAAATAGGACGTTTATATTTCAGCTCTGAAGAAAAACTGTGCGGTATTACAGTGCCATATCATCTAGAAATTATTTCTGGAAAATTAGAGATGCTATGAAATTCAGCAAGGTGTCTAGGTAGTGCATTAAAGGAACAAATACAATAATTGAATGATGCTTCTTGTACGTTTTGCTGATTAAATCCTTTTTCTTTTATACTTTAACCCCTTAAGGACCAAACTTCTGTAATAAAAGGGAATCATGACATGTCACACATGTCATGTGTCCTTAAGGGGCTAAAGGCCCACTCTAAGCACAAAAAAAAACTTATTGAAGTGTTTTGGGTGTATAGATCATGCCCGTGTAGTCTCTATTCTCCCCTGGATGTTGGGCTAAGGTAACATTCCCAGGACGTACTTGAAAACCAGAGTAATCTGAATGTACTATTCCTGGTTAAATATTGTATTATTATTTAAGAGATAAATCACTTTGTTTATGCAGTCCTAGCCACACCTCCCTTGACTGAGATTCCCACAGCCCCCTTATATCCTGAAAAAGATGCACATTGGTTTTTTGCACAGTGTGTTTAATAACAGATTAGCTCAGCCTTGCTGGTAGTATATTCATAATTGTATTAAAGACAGGCAGGAGGTGCATATTTGCTTAACCCTTCATTTACTGACACCGCAGCAGCAAAGTGATAATACATTTCAGTGAGAAACGAAACAACTAATCTGATATGACCATAGCATAATAAAGAGAGTAATGCCTACCACAGTCCGCTTTCTTCTGATCCCACAGAAATGCAATTTAAGTAATTTAACGAAAAGAAATGAGGCTTCATAGTTGCTGGTTTTAATGTTCTAACACAGTTTTTCCCAACAATCTTCAAGTACGTTCTAACAGTCCAGGATTTAGGGATTACCCAGTTGTGTCTAAAGTGTTTTTAGAAAGAAAAAAACAGGGTAATCCCTAAATACGTGACTGTTAGGGGGTACTTGAGGACTTGGTTGGGAACCCCTGTTCTAACACACTAGTAATAGTATGGTGATGAGGTCAAAATACAAAGTACGAAAAGTGGATTCTCAAGACCAAAAAGCAGATGCCAGGATATCTGCTAATTTGCTTCTAGACTCAGGATCTCCAAAGGAACAATCAGTGCCAGCAAACTTGAGAAACCAGTGAATCCATCCTGCCAAAGAAGGTGCAGAAGCAGGACAATGGGGCCGAGTGTAGGAAATCAAAAGTGGAGTATAAAACAAAGACCCGAACTACTCATAGAAATATAATTTGCATACAGTGAGTAACACATAATGCAGGGTCATTAAGGATATAGGGATACTAATTGCGTGTTACATTTAGTCTGGTGATTCGCTGAGAAAGTGACTTCTTCAGGGGAAAAAAAAGATTACGTTAATCTCGAATGCCTGAACGTTTTAACAAAAAAATAAAAGTCAGCTTAACATTTAGTTCGGAGTAACAAAAAACTATAGCAACATCCTAAAAGCTCATGTACTAAATCTACTAACCAAAGGATCCTTGCCACTAGGAATGACCAATGACGGAACTTAAACTGCCAAAAAAATGGCTAAATGGAGAACGTTAATGGTGTAGTACAACTTGCAATGTAAAAAGATCGGCCAAGAAATCATGTCAAAATGGCTATAACGAGCAATAAAGGGATCAACATGTTGTGACACCAACCACTCCATGTTCTCCAAGCGCTGAGTGGCCCTGGAATTCTGAAAGAGGGACCTAGCTGTGTTTAATAAAACTGACACACTTCAGAAAACCCTGAAATTGTCCATCACACTAAATGCTATTGAGGGCATGTAATGTCCAGAAGGTTCATAACAAGAGATGTGATACATAGATGGATGGAGTCTGCCGCTGACATATCCAGGAGAGATGAAAACCATGGTTGAGCTCTCCAGAGTCGGGTGAGGAAAAGCACAAGTATGATGGGGAGAACATGTGGAATGAGAGCTAAAAAAGGGGAAGTTTAACCAACCATTGCCACCGTTAGAGAAAATGCATCTACAGCTAAGCTCTGGTTCGTCAGACAACTGAAGGAGTTTGGATAAAGATATTCACTTCAGAGTCAAACAGATTCAGAATCAGTGATCCTTTGCAAACATCCAAACGCTGAAAACGTCAGTGCCTGGAAAACCAACCGAACAAATTCCTTCTCTGCTAATGGCCCAATCAAGTTTGAGGAGTTTCGTAAAGCGCGAAGGAGCCAAGCACAGACATAATGTAAGGCATGTGGACTGCCAAGGATCTTTATTCCAAAAAACAATTGGAGAAAGGAACAATGATGGACTTTGTGAACTGGTACTGGTAGATAAGTGTTCTTAAAGTCAAGGTGGACACACCAATTCTGTTTTTGAAGGAGATTTTGAAGCAGATTGCCTTCCATCTTGAAGTGTCCACATTTCCTGTTTTGTTGCGGATGAGAAAGATGTTGCTCACATACATTGGTTAAATGACGCCCATGTCCTGCAGGCTGGAGAGTTCCTCTGGGACAAGAACCATATAAGACTGAGAGATAATTATCTGAGGAGGGTAAGGAACTTGCAAAAGGGGAGTCTCAGTCAATAAAAAAATTAAAAATCATCAACTATCAGAAGTATCCATGGGTATTGGTTTTTTTCTTAATTTTTCAAATTATTTAGTTCAGTGCAAAGTCTCAGGTTGCTAAAGGAAATTGCTTAAATTTAAAAAAGAAAACAAATTGTACCCTATCTTTTTTTTTTGTCATCCAAGGCTGTATATTTGTTTATACCTATTTGTATAGCTTAATTGTTTATGCACTCTTTCTTTTTTCCCTGGGACCATGGATCCTCTAACCATCTATGGGTAAAATAAAGCCTCTTCTGTTATATATTAAGGGTGTGTAATAATGAGTCTTTAAATTCCAGGAGACATTTGTCACCTCTTTATATATATATAGGTGTTTTAAAAAAAAAAAATCTTTCAACATTGAAGTTGCTGTTTAGTGGATAAGTGAGTGTGCTGGATCTTGTGTATTATATATATATATTTATTTATTTATTTTCTATTAATTCTTTATTTAAGAGACAAGCCAAACAGAAAATATGGGAATATGCAAAAAAAAAAAAAAGGAAATTATAAGCATCACAACTTAATTTTTGTAGTAGGTCACAGTAACAAAAATCAGTGAGAATGGGGAAGGAAAGAGAAGGGAGATTTAAAAAAGAGCTGCCTACCAACTGTCAGGAGACAGAAGAGTCTATCCCCAAATGGCGTGCAGTCCTGATAGATACAGTAACCAGGGGTCCAGGGGATTGTGAGCCACAGAGAGAGGCGTTCTCATCTCAAAGCCATATTGAAGCAAGGCATCTGCGAGCCA